TGTTTCCTGCTTTATCTCCATCACTTCTTCTTTCCCTCCTTCTTCCTCTTTCACAACCTCAACTTCTTTCTCCCCAGCTGGCCCTACGATTTCTTTTGTAATCGTCTCTCCTGGCTGCACGGGCTCTTTGCCCTTGGCTTCCTCATCCTCCAGCTTCTTCAGCTCTTTCAGCAAATCCAGCTTCTCCTTCACCAGCTGTTCCGTTTTGTCCACAACATTTGCTTCTTGTTTCGAAATCTCACGGGCTTTCAAGGCAGCCTCTTCCTGAGCAGGGGTCAATACAGCATCGTCACCCATCTCCTTCTCTTGATCCTCTTCCTGTTCTGATAGGGCTCTCTCACTTGAACGCTGCTGCTCAATCTGCCGATCTAGTTCCTTGATCTTCAGCTCAATCTCGGCCTTCTTCTTTGCCGCACCCCCAGCTGCATTGGAATCTTCAAAGCTGGTTGAGGAAGTGTCCCCAGTGTGCCGACCGAATTCATCATGCCCATGCTTGTGATGTTCTTGACCTCTTGCAAAGAATCCAGCTTCGGCCAATGGCTGAGGCCATGTGCGTCTTGGAGAATGCCCTCTGCTATGCCACCGCCGTCGCACGTCGTGACCACGTTGAGACAAGGGGCTGTGTCCATGTCGGTGTGCTTCGTGAAGGTTGTGCAACCGGCCGTGACTTGGCCGTCGAATCCTTGAATGGCTGTGGCCTCCACGTGTGTGGCCGTGGCCGCCGTGGCCTGTGTGATGGTGATGATGGTGACGGTGACCATGGTGACTATGGTGACCAGGGGGACTGTGGTGTCCACCATGACGACCATGACGTACATGGGAAGATTGTGCTCGGGAAGGTCCTGGAGAGTGATGAATCTCATGCGGCTTTTCCCGACGGCCGAAGAAGCTTGTGACATCTAAGCTGTTGGCTGGAGCATCCAAGCACCACTTTGTTGCTTGGGAGCTATGACCCGGAAAGGTCAAGCCCAAAAGGCTATCATGGAGGCCCAGGAAGCCCATGAGCCCACAAAAGAAAGCTGAAAGGTTGGACAGCTTGAGCTTTGAAAACACCTTTCATACTTCATAGTAGTCATACTTCAGTGGTAGGGGCTACTGCAACTTGTCGTGGTATTTGGAGGTTGCATGTCTGACCAAATTCGTCATGTACATCTGAGTCTGGTTGTGTCTTGGAATCTTGCATTCCTACATCTTCCACAATCTTCCTTTCATCCGATATAAATGGCTGCGGAACGGACCAGTGGTGGCATCTGAACACATCCAACAGTAAGGCACATGAACAGGGGCATACACACACTACAAATATATATATATACAATTATATACATATATACACTAGTACATACACTGTAAAATACAACATAACGTATAAATGCCCCAAGGAACAACACAATGCAACGGGATGGTTGTCTTACAGTCAGTCTTAACATAATATTCGGTAGCAACATAGCAGCATTCAGTCAGCACTGAGTACTACTGTCCTGTCTTTGCATCATGCGTTAGCCAGCGGATCGCCTGTCGCATGTTGGCCAGGGTGGGACGCCGCAAAGTCGGCCAGTGATGGTCATCGAGCAAAACTAATTGGTGCTCTTCATTGGACGGGAAACCTTGTTGCTCCAATAGTGGGATAATCCTCTTCACGTCGGCAATGCAGCCATGCAACTCTGCGTCCGTACCGAAATAGTTGATCCCTACCAACAAGCTCTTGCGCTTCCCCGGCAGTTGCGCTATGGACTGGGTAGCTTCCCCTGGTGCTCGCACTGCCGGGTGTGAGCTCACTTGATTTACAACGGGTTGCCCCAAAGTGGGTGCTGCTCCTGTCACGCCTGTTGGAGGTGAAAGCATACCTGAAGCTATGGGCAGTCCACATGGAATCGCTGCTTGGCCCGGGAGCATGTTAGTTGCACTCATAGGAGTTCCGTAAGCCACTGATGCTACAACTGGGTTATCCTTCACAACTGAAGCGCAATCTGCCGAGTTTGTCGCAACAGCAGGCACAAAACATGCCTGCCCTGTTGGTGGTAACGCTTGAGCAACTGTTTGCCCTGGTGCTGGAAATGCTTGAGCAACTGCCTGCCCCGTGGGTGGA